CCTAACCTGTGCATTATTCTCAGGGTAGGTTAAAAAGGTTTGTATTATTACAAACTTAATATATACACACACGCTTAATGTAGCCTAACCATGGATCACTTAACCACTGAATCACTTATCACTTAACCAGTTAAGTGATTACCACGAGGGTAAAAAAAAACTCTTTGAGGTATAATATATGTAAATTTTGTTTCCCATACCTACTCTTTTTTCCTGCTTCCTTCCCCCGTTTTTTGTTGATTTAGCTTGTAGTATTTACAATTTTTTTTCCCCATTTTCACCTCGTTTTTTGCCCCCCTCTTTTTGTCCTTGTATGTTTTTGAGCTGCAGATTATTAGGTCTGTTACCGTGACATAAATTATGGCCTATGGAGCTTGCTTGCTATAATGGCGGCTCTTAGTTCAGCTAGGATATATTCATCATGGGATATTATCCCGGGCGAGGGGAGTCATTTCACGCCCTGTGTTTGTCCTCTCTGAACGGTGTGTGTGTGTGACTTGCCAGTTTGTGTTTTGTTTGCTAATATGAATTGCTCGATGCATCTATACTTTGTGTGAGTGTTCCATTTTAAGGATCTTGTCTATGTTACAGTTTTATTCATTTACTCGTTATTGTTTGTTGTGGATTAATGTATTTATCCACAACGTTTCAAATAATTATTTATTTGCCATTTTAAACAAACACGCATCTAGCCTAATTAGGATGAGGTTCGCTTGATACTGAATGCTGTCGTTATGAAGAGTGCTGATGCAATGGGTGTATGGAGAGAGTGTAGTAGTAGATTATGGAGGGAGTGTAGTAGTAGATTATAGAGGGAGTGTAGGAGTAGATTATGGAGGGAGTGTAGTAGTAGATTATGGAGGGAGTGTAGTAGTAGATTATGGAGGGAGTGTAGTAGTAGATTATGGAGGGAGTGTAGTAGTAGATTATGGAGGGAGTGTAGTAGTAGATTATAGAGGGAGTGTAGGAGTAGATTATAGAGGGAGTGTAGGAGTAGATTATGGAGGGAGTGTTGTAGTAGATTATGGAGTATAGTAGTAGATTATAGAGGGAGTGTAGTAGTAGATTATGGAGGAAGTGTAGTAGTAGATTATGAAGGGAGTGTAATAGTAGATTATAGAGGAAGTGTATTAGGTTATGGAGGGAGCCATAGGCGTGAACATTCCTTGATTATAGAGACCCAGTGATTATGGAGTGTGTATATTTTCTTTGTTTCCAGAGGAATTCATTCAACAGCAGCATACCGCGACAGGGAACTGAAAGGCCTTCACATCCACTCAAGTGCCTGGGAGGCACTTGCAGCGTTTTCCCCCATCCATATATTTTCCAAGTGAAGAGTCATTTGGGTCTCTGGGGGCTACACACACCCCTTGAAGGGGGAGGGGGGAGCGCAGGGGTCATATTTAGCAAGCATTGTGTACCGTTGATGGCTTGTGTGGGTTGGTACCTATGTTTGTTTGCTGCTCGAGAGCTTGTGTGGGTTGGTACCTATGTTTGTTTGCTGCTCGAGAGCTTGTGTGGGTTGGTACCTATGTTTGTTTGCTGGCCTTCAGCGTCAACAAACATGGAGGTGTGTGTGTGTGTGTGTGTGTGTGTGTGTGTGTGTGTGTGTACTCACCTAGTTGTACTCACCTAGTTGTGTTTGCGGGGGTTGAGCTCTGGCTCTTTGGTCCCGCCTCTCAACCGTCAATCAACAGGTGTACAGATTCCTGAGCCTATCGGGCTCTGTCATATCTACACTTGAAACTGTGTATGGAGTCAGCCTCCACCACATCACCCCCTAATACATTCCATTTGTCAACCACTCTGACACTAAAAAAGTTCTTTCTAATATCTCTGTGGCTCATTTGGGCACTCAGTTTCCACCTGTGTCCCCTTGTGCGTGTTCCCCTTGTGTTAAATAGACTGTCTTTATCTACCCTATCAATCCCCTTCAGAATCTTGAATGTGGTGATCATGTCCCCCCTAACTCTTCTGTCTTCCAGCGAAGTGAGGTTTAATTCCCGTAGTCTCTCCTCGTAGCTCATACCTCTCAGCTCGGGTACTAGTCTGGTGGCAAACCTTTGAACCTTTTCCAGTTTAGTCTTATCCTTGACTAGATATGGACTCCATGCTGGGGCTGCATACTCCAGGATTGGCCTGACATATGTGGTATACAAAGTTCTGAATGATTCTTTACACAAGTTTCTGAATGCCGTTCGTATGTTGGCCAGCCTGGCATATGCCGCTGATGTTATCCGCTTGATATGTGCTGCAGGAGACAGGTCTGGCGTGATATCAACCCCCAAGTCTTTTTCCTTCTCTGACTCCTGAAGAATTTCCTCTCCCAGATGATACCTTGTATCTGGCCTCCTGCTCCCTACACCTATCTTCATTACATTACATTTGGTTGGGTTAAACTCTAACAACCATTTGTTCGACCATTCCTTCAGCTTGTCTAGGTCTTCTTGAAGCCTCAAACAGTCCTCTTCTGTTTTAATCCTTCTCATAATTTTAGCATCGTCCTCAAACATTGAGAGAAATGAATCGATACCCTCCGGGAGATCATTTACATATATGTGTGTGTGTGTGTGTGTTGTGTGTGCTCACCTAGTTGTACTTGCGGGAGTTGAGCTCTTTGCTTCCGCCTCTCAGCTGTTAATCAACCACAGACAGAGATGCTTTACTGCTAGAATCCACTCAGTAAAACATCTAAACTGTTGGGACCGACAAAAATGCCTAAATCTGTATTCTCTTGAGCGCAGGCGGGAGAGATACACGATAATTTATACGTGGAAAATAGTAGAGGGGCTGGTCCCAAACCTGCACACAGAAATAACACCACATGAGTCCAGGAGGCATGGCAGGATGTGCAGAATACCCCCGTTGAAGAGCAAAGGTGCAACAGGTACTCTGAGAGAGAACTATCAACATCAGAGGTCCGAGACTGTTCAACACGCTTCCACTACACATAAGGGACATAACTGGCTGACCCCTCACAGTGTTCAAGAGAGAACTTGACAAACACCTCCAATTGATACCTGGTCGACCAGGCTGTGACGCATACGTCAGGCTGCGAGCAGCCGCGTCCAACAGCCTGGCTGACCAGTCCAGCAACCAGGAGGCCTGGTCGACGACCGGGCCGCGGGGACGCTAAGCCCCGAAATCATATCAAGATACTGAACAAATCCACAAGGGCCGTGATGGGGATTCGAACCTACGTCCGAAAGGATCCCAGACGTAGGTTCGAACCCTCATCACGGCCCTTATGGATTTGTTCAGTTGATGCATCACACTGTTGTGATTTCTGTGTGTATCTCAATATAACTTCACGATGTCTTGAGGGGGGGTTATGGGGGGTGTCACGCCCCCCTTCATGCGCCCCCCCTCTCTGGCTGAGGGGGGGGGGCAGGGTCTATCCAGGGGGTCATCCCCCCCTCCCCCCCCCTCTTCGTAAATCATCAACTTTATTATCAGCTGCGTTACACACACACACACACACACACACACACACACACACACACACACACACACACACACACACACACACGCGCGCGCGCGCACGCACGCACGCACGCATACGTATAAGTCGTCAATTCACAACCGAGGATTGAGGGTTTAATTCTCCCAGCAGGACAGAAGCGTTTGGGCAGCGTTTCCTTTCGCCTCATGCAACTGTTCACCTAGCTGTGAATAGGTACCTGGGAGACACCCTCACCTAGGCTTGCTAGCGGCACTAATAATTCATTTCGAGTAACGAGGCATCAGAAACTAGGTGACGGGCGAACATGTTTACTGAACACAGGTGTGGACCTGCACAGGTGTGTTCTGGCGGCTTGGTGCACACCTGTTCTCTACGAGTCTATACGGCACATGTGTACGTGTCTCCGTGCCGCCGTAGTGGCACGGTATCGCACCTTGTTGTTTCAGGTTTAGCTACTCAGAACGAAGTGTCCAGGTAGCACGGGCTATGGTGAGCCCGCAATATCGCACCTCCTCGTGACACGACTCATCCTTATTTGAGTCATACTCAATCACAGGCACGATCCCTCCTGTCCTCATGTTCATCCCTCATGTTCATGTGTGTACTCACCTATTTGTACTCACCTATTTGTGCTTGCGGGGGTTGAGCTTTAGCTCTTTGGTCCCGCCTCTCAACTGTCAATCAACTGGTGTACAGATTCCTGAGCCTACTGGGCTCTATCATATCTACATTTGAAACTGTGTATGGAGTCAGCCTCCACCACATCACTGCCTAATGCATTCCATGTGTGTGTGTGTGTGTGTGTGTGTGTGTGTGTGTGTGTGTGTGTGTGTGTGTGTGTGTGTGTGGTACACAGTACACTTGGATGGCTTCACAGGAGGGGTAGAAGCCTCACCGGCCGCCTCCTCATTACTCACCAAATCCGTCGCGTATTCCATACGGTCGCGCGCGACGTATTAGTCAACATTAAGGATGTTGTTGTTTTTAGATTCAGCCACTCGGAACAAAAAGTTGCAAGTAGCACGGAATATGGTGATCCCGTAGTGGACTTACCAGGCACAGGAGTGCCTGTAAATTAAGGCACCGTAATGTTGATATTTTCTTTGCATCGCCCTCGATAGGTGAGGTGGGTTGCTGGGGTTGAACTTGAAATTGAAATTGAAATAAGTTTATTGAGGTAACATACACACAAAGGGATGAGGTAGCTCAAGCTATTCTCACCCCATAGGTATTTGCTGGGGTTTGTACGCTCAAGATCCCCAGTGGGTCCCCACAAGGATTGCATCCTCTATATTGTGTTAAACATTGACTTATTAACGTCGGTATGCAATATTTGCGTATATTGTGCAACCGGTCCTCTTGATGTGTTAGTCCATGCAGCGGCCGACCCCCCTTACCCGCCCCCCCCCCCCCCACACACACACACACACACAGTTTTGCGTCGGCTTTGATTACCCCAATGACGGCCCGGGGGGGGGGGGGTGTTAGCGAGACGTCTAACAATCAACCATGGCAACACCAACCATGGCAACCGTAGCTATGGCAACACCAACCATGGCAACCGTAGCCATGGCAACACCAACCATGGCAACCGTAACTATGGCAACACCAACCATGGCAACACCAACCATGGCAACCGTAGCTATGGCAACACCAACCATGGCAACCGTAGCTATGGCAACACCAACCATGGCAACCGTAGCTACGGCAACACCAACCATGGCAACCGTAGCTATGGCAACACCAACCATGGCAACCGTAGCTATGGCAACACCAACCATGGCAACCGTAGCTATGGCCACACCAACCATGGCAACCGTAGCTATGGCAACACCAACCATGGCAACCGTAGCTATGGCAACACCAACCATGGCAACCGTAGCTATGGCCACACCAACCGTAGCTATGGCAACACCAACCATGGCAACCGTAGCTATGGCAACACCAACCATGGCAACCGTAGCTATGGCAACACCAACCATGGCAACAGTAGCTATGGCAACACCAACCATGGCAAACGTAGCTATGGCCACACCAACCATGGCAACCGTAGCTATGGCCACACCAACCATGGCAACCGTAGCTATGGCCACACCAACCATGGCAACCGTAGCTATGGCAACACCAACCATGGCAACAGTAGCTATGGCAACACCAACCATGGCAACTGTAGCTATGGCAACACCAACCATGGCAACAGTAGCTATGGCAACACCAACCATGGCAACAGTAGCTATGGCAACAGCAACCATGGCAACAGTAGCTATGGCAACAGCAACCATGGCAACCGTAGCTATGGCAACACCAACCATGGCAACCGTAGCTATGGCAACACCAACCATGGCAACATCAACCATGGCAACAGTAGCTATGGCAACACCAACCATGGCAACAGTAGCTATGGCAACAACCATGGCAACCGTAGCTATGGCAACACCAACCATGGCAACCGTAGCTATGGCAACATCAACCATGGCAACAGTAGCTATGGCAACAACCATGGCAACCGTAGCTATGGCAACACCAACCATGGCAACAGTAGCTATGGCAACACCAACCATGGCAACCCCAACAGCTGTGTCACAAACATTGGCCGTCCCAAAATACGCGGGTAATCAGGAGCTGGGGGAGGAAAGGTCCCGGCTATCATGTTGTTAAATTCCTTGTTTATTTATCCCGTAGTGATAAATAAACAAGGAATTTAACAACATGATTGCCGGGGACCTCTTTTTTTACACGATCTCTTTTTTTCCCCTTTTTGATGTTTGTGTTTGTTTGTTTGTTTGTTTCCCCTCTGTTGGGCTCGTTTGTTTCAGTTTTTTTTGTTGGGGGGTTTGGTCTTAAAGGTGTAGCTGTGTTAATCTCTGGAACTTTGTGCAGTCGTTTGAACTTGTGGAACCTTTGTAATGTGGAACGTCTGGAACCTTCGTAATGTGGAACGTCTGGAACCTTCGTAATGTGGAACGTGTGGAACCTTCGTAATGTGGAAAGTGTGGAACATTCGTAATGTGGAACGTCTGGAACGTTCGTAATGTGGAACGTCTGGAACCTTCGTAATGTGGAACGTGTGGAACCTTCGTAATGTGGAACGTTTGGAACCTCCGTAATGTGGAACACATGGAACCTTCGTAATGTGGAACGTCTGGAACCTTCGTAATGTGGAACGTCTGGAACCTTCGTAATGTGGAACGTCTGGAACCTCCGTAATGTGGAACGTCTGGAACCTTCGTAATGTGGAACGTCTGGAACCTCCGTAATGTGGAACGTCTGGAACCTCCGTAATGTGGAACGTCTGGAACCTTCGTAATGTGGAACACGTGGAACCTCCGTAATGTGGAACGTCTGGAACCTCCGTAATGTGGAACGTTTGGAACCTTCGTAATGTGGAACGTCTGGAACCTCCGTAATGTGGAACGTCTGGAACCTCCGTAATGTGGAACGTCTGGAACCTCCGTAATGTGGAACGTCTGGAACCTTCGTAATGTGGAACGTTTGGAACCTCCGTAATGTGGAACGTCTGGAACCTCCGTAATGTGGAACGTCTGGAACCTTCGTAATGTGGAACGTCTGGAACCTCCGTAATGTGGAACGTCTGGAACCTCCGTAATGTGGAACGTTTGGAACCTTCGTAATGTGGAACGTCTGGAACCTCCGTAATGTGGAACGTCTGGAACCTCCGTAATGTGGAACACGTGGAACCTCCGTAATGTGGAACGTCTGGAACCTCCGTAATGTGGAACGTCTGGAACCTTCGTAATGTGGAACACGTGGAACCTCCGTAATGTGGAACGTCTGGAACCTCCGTAATGTGGAACGTTTGGAACCTTCGTAATGTGGAACGTCTGGAACCTCCGTAATGTGGAACACGTGGAACCTTCGTAATGTGGAACGTCTGGAACCTCCGTAATGTGGAACGTCTGGAACCTCCGTAATGTGGAACGTCTGGAACCTCCGTAATGTGGAACGTCTGGAACCTTCGTAATGTGGAACGTCTGGAACCTCCGTAAAGTGGAACACGTGGAACCTTCGTAATGTGGAACGTCTGGAACCTCCGTAATGTGGAACACGTGGAACCTTCGTAATGTGGAACGTCTGGAACCTCCGTAATGTGGAACGTCTGGAACCTCCGTAATGTGGAACGTCTGGAACCTCCGTAATGTGGAACGTCTGGAACCTCCGTAAAGTGGAACGTCTGGAACCTCCGTAATGTGGAACGCGTGGAACCTCCGTAATGTGGAACGTCTGGAACCTCCGTAATGTGGAACGTCTGGAACCTCCGTAATGTGGAACGTCTGGAACCTCCGTAATGTGGAACGTCTGGAACCTCCGTAATGTGGAACGTGTGGAACCTTCATACCCTAGTGAAGATCCTCTTAAATGCCTCTTTAACCCCGAATGTCGCTGCCAAGTGCCTGAACAACACTAGATTGTTGCTTCCTGTCTGCTGCCTGTCGTCAGCTGGCCTTATCAGCTGATCGAGGCCCCCGTCAGCAGGTGATCGGCAGGTGGGACGTCAACTGATCGAGGCCGCCCTCCTCCCCCCCCCTGTCAGCAACTGATTGGATCCCATCCATTAGCTAATCGACCATCCCTAGTATGGTGTGATAGTCGTGGGCCGGCTGCTACCTGTGAGTATAGCTTCCCTCCACGACGAATGCGCCCAATCGGGATCCAATTAGCTGATAAACATCATGGTCTTAAGATTATAGGTTCTGTGTCTGATAATTAGGACCCCCCCCCCCTGAAATAGTCATTGGGAGAAGTACAGAAGTTGCTTCTGTACTGGTGTACAGAAGCAACAAGGAATATACCCCACGAAACCGACTTGAAAAATATTAAACTTTAATTCAGAATTAAGCGGCAAAACCTTTGAAAAAGAAATATCTTTCATTATATTTCATTATATAACTGTCCAGAGGGGGAGGAGGAAGGCGGGTCTATATGACCACTTCTTATCCATTAACCCCCTCCCCTAGCCATCCACTTGGGCTGGACGGTAGAGGGACGGTCTCGCTTCATGCAGGTCGGCGTTCAATCCCCGAACGTCCAAGTGATTGAACCTCATCCCTTCCCCCCGTCCCATCCCAAATCCATATCCTGACCCCCCCTTCCAAGTGATATATAGTCATATTAGCTTGGCGCTTTCCCCTTATAAATTCCTAACCCCCCTCTCTCCTCGATTTTCTTTTCTCGGGGTAAGGGAGGGATCTTATCTTGAGGTTATCTTGAGATGATTTCGGGGCTTTAGTGTCCCCGCGTCCCGGACCTCGACCAGGCCTCCACCCCCAGGAAGCGGCCCGTGACAGCTGACTAACACCCAGGTAACTTTTGTTACTGCTAGGTAACAGGGGCATCAGGGTGAAAGAAACTCTGGCCATTGTTTCTCGCCGGCGCCTGGGATCGAACCCGGGACCACAGGATCACAAGTCCAGCGTGCTGTCCGCTCGGCCGACCGGCTCCTCGGGATGTCATAATCTTTTAAAAATAAATATTGTTGGTGAAACTGAAGACAGAAGTTTGAATCTTTAAGCATGACGGAGCTATACTCAAAGGGCCTCGCTGCTTATATACACGAAGCGGGTTTTTTTTACGAAGCTGCGAAAATGTTTAGGCAATTGGATGCTACGTTGTGGTGGGGTATAGAGTGCGGATATGTTGACAGCTGTGTTGGGGGGGGAGGGGCCACAATAGGGGAGTGAAGGCGAAGTTAAGAGATGCTTAAGATGTCTGGTGAGTTAAGAGGTACACAGAGTGTAGGGAAGGGGTTATAAGGTACCCTGGTTGTGGAGTAGCTTAGAAACCCCTGGTTGTGGAGTAGCTTAGAAACCCCTGGTTGTGGAGTAGCTTAGAAACCCCTGGTTGTGGAGTAGCTTAGAAACCCCTGGTTGTGGAGTAGCTTAGAAATCCCTGGTTGTGGAGTAGCTTAGAAACCCCTGGTTGTGGAGTAGCTTAGAAACCCCTGGTTGTGGAGTAGCTTAGAAACCCCTGGTTGTGGAGTAGCTTAGAAACCCCTGGTTGTGGAGTAGCTTAGAAACCCCTGGTTGTGGAGTGGGGGGGCGTGGGAACCCTGGTTGTGGAGGAGCACCTTAGAAACCTCTGGTTGTGGAGGAGCAGCTTAGAAACCCCTGGTTGTGGAGGAGTAGCTTAGAAACCCTGGTTGTGGAGGAGCAGCTTAGAAACCCCTGGTTGTATAGGAGCACCTTAGAAACCCTGGTTGTGGAGGAGCAGCTTAGAAACCCCTGGTTGTGGAGGAGTAGCTTAGAAACCCTGGTTGTATAGGAGCAGCTTAGAAACCCTGGTTGTGGAGGAGCAGCTTAGAAAACCCTGGTTGTGGAGCAGCAGCTTAGAAACCCCTGGTCGTGGAGGAGCAGCTTAGAAACCCTGGTTGTGGAGGAGCAGCTTAGAAACCCTGGTTGTGGAGCAGCAGCTTAGAAACCCTGGTTGTGGAGCAGCAGCTTAGAAACCCCTGGTTGTGGAGGAGCAGCTTAGAAACCCTGGTTGTGGAGCAGCAGCTTAGAAACCCCTGGTTGTGGAGGAGTAGCTTAGAAACCCTGGTTGTATAGGAGCAGCTTAGAAACCCTGGTTGTATAGGAGCAGCTTAGAAACCCTGGTTGTATAGGAGCAGCTTAGAAACCCTGGTTGTATAGGAGCAGCTTAGAAACCCTGGTTGTATAGGAGCAGCTTAGAAACCCTGGTTGTATAGGAGCAGCTTAGAAACCCTGGTTGTATAGGAGCAGCTTAGAAACCCTGGTTGTATAGGAGCAGCTTAGAAACCCTGGTTGTATAGGAGCAGCTTAGAAACCCTGGTTGTATAGGAGCAGCTTAGAAACCCTGGTTGTATAGGAGCAGCTTAGAAACCCTGGTTGTATAGGAGCAGCTTAGAAACCCTGGTTGTATAGGAGCAGCTTAGAAACCCTGGTTGTATAGGAGCAGCTTAGAAACCCTGGTTGTATAGGAGCAGCTTAGAAACCCTGGTTGTATAGGAGCAGCTTAGAAACCCTGGTTGTATAGGAGCAGCTTAGAAACCCTGGTTGTGGAGGAGCAGCTTAGAAACCCTGGTTGTGGAGGAGCAGCTTAGAAAACCCTGGTTGTGGAGCAGCAGCTTAGAAACCCCTGGTTGTATAGGAGCAGCTTAGAAACCCTGGTCGTGGAGGAGCAGCTTAGAAACCCCTGGTTGTATAGGAGCAGCTTAGAAACCCTGGTTGTATAGGAGCAGCTTAGAAACCCTGGTTGTATAGGAGCAGCTTAGAAACCCTGGTTGTATAGGAGCAGCTTAGAAACCCTGGTTGTATAGGAGCAGCTTAGAAACCCTGGTTGTATAGGAGCAGCTTAGAAACCCTGGTTGTATAGGAGCAGCTTAGAAACCCTGGTTGTATAGGAGCAGCTTAGAAACCCTGGTTGTATAGGAGCAGCTTAGAAACCCTGGTTGTATAGGAGCAGCTTAGAAACCCTGGTTGTGGAGGAGCAGCTTAGAAACCCTGGTTGTGGAGGAGCAGCTTAGAAAACCCTGGTTGTGGAGCAGCAGCTTAGAAACCCCTGGTTGTATAGGAGCAGCTTAGAAACCCTGGTCGTGGAGGAGCAGCTTAGAAACCCCTGGTTGTATAGGAGCAGCTTA